CCCCCCCCAAGTTGAAGAAGATATTTGCGAGAGAAAACGTGGGAGCTGTCAACCGATAGCACTCGACAATCATTACATGAACACTATACATATATCTCGTTTTACTTATAAGAGGCGCCATCGACGAAGTTTCACAATGAACTTTTCAATTCCTTTTTTTTTATTATTATTCATTGCAATGTACAATAATCTTTTTCTTGCGCATTTCGAAGACATAAATACGCTCATGCATAAATAAATAAAGTGGATACTCTCTGCGCACTTTTTCTCTACGGCATATAACAGGTAGATGGAAGATTCTCGAACATACATTTTTTTTTTTTAACTACACAGAGGATATTATATTGAACTCGATGAGGGGGGCGGGAGAAGAGAGAGAAAAGTACAATGGCCATTAAGTGTCGGCGTAAATAAAAAATGCTCGGCCCTCGCCCTCGACACAGGCGGCCTTAAACACATCCTCGGTTCTCTATCTTACAAAAATTTTGGAATGTCCGCGGAAATTCAGATATCTCGCTGAAGATCGCACAACAGGTTGTATGTCTTACTATCGATATCACTAAATGCTCGTAAATCGGAGTATACGTCAAGGCACAATGCGCTAGATTGTTCTTTACCTACCATTGTTTAACTAATTTAGACTCTTAATATTAAAAGGGACTAACCTTCCTTCCCATAGTACGTAATAAAATAGTGTTCGCGTTAAGGTTCCCTCCGAGATAAATCGCCATAGGTACACATGCTATGATATGATACTTCAAAAGTAAAAACGCTTCAACAGATTCGATGGATAAATGGCAAAGTAAACGGTAATAATAATAATACTCTCTCATGTGCGATTAAGTAGTTGGGCTTAGCCGCACATAACCTGGCGGACAAAATCTTCATAGTTGATATTACCCTGTGAATCTTCGTGACCCGCCAATAACGTTTCCACTTCCTCGTCACTGAGCTTCTCACCTGCAACAGTACGCCACGATAAAAGTTCTGCGCGCACATACATATGTCTTCAAGTGCGTTCGTAACGCTCACGAGAATCACCTGTCCTTGTTTAATATTTGATAACAAGAATGAAATTCCAAGAGCGTTGCGTGCGCCCAGTAAGTGCAGCCTCTGTCCATAGGTACATTCCGTTTCATGCATGATGCATCATTTTATCCTTGTTTAATATTCAGCGAGTAACAAGAATAAGATAATACATCATGCGCATCATGCATGAAATGGAACGCACGTCAGGGAGGCGCGTTTAATGCGTACCGAGCGTCGTCAGAAGGTGTCGCAACTCTGCAGAAGATATGAAACCGTTTCCATCCTTGTCAAAGTGACGCAGGCCCTCGATAAAATCGTCCGCCGTGTCGGAGGTACGGGACTTGCTGATCGCCTGGTAGATAGGTAGAAACACCTCGAAGCTGATACGCTCGTCCGGCTTATGCTGATGGGTGAACTTCTTCACGTCCGACTCGGTCGGATTTTGACCAAGAGCACGTAACGCATCACCGATCTGGGATACGTGGATCTTGCCGTCCCCGCGGCTGTCAAACAACTGAAATGCCTCTTGGAATTCTGCAACAGCATCCTTACTTTTAATGATTTTCGAGCGCTTGATTCGTATCTCACATATAAAAATAATTTTAGGGACAGAGAGAGAGAGAGAGAGAGAGAAAGAATTGTGAATGACAAAACAGGTTTAAAGAAACGTAAACAAAGTAGGATAAATTTGTAATTCTTCTCGCCATTCTCTAACGTTAAATTAAATTATCTGCAAGGTGCCACCCGATAATAGGATCGTTTACCCTCCATAGATGACATCATTCTATTAGCCAACTCCTGGTAGCTATAGCCGTACATCTTGACACTTGAATGGATAAGGCTTATCACTTAGCAGCTTCTATAACAACGCGATAATGTCAGAACCGGGCGCGTCTTGCATCGGCCGATCCCCAGGAGCGCGCCTCGCGTCAACGGCAATCGCACACAACTCGTGTGCTCGCGAGTGTAAAAACAAGAATAATCGGCGAGTCTCACAGAGAGAGAGGACGGGGAGCGCGATTAAGTCCTCCACAATGCCCGCGGCCAGCGGCGGCTTGCTTTCAAATATCAGACCATAAAAGGCAGTCCTCGATAGGCGCGCGCGCGCGCGGGCACGCTGAGGGTGCGTCTAAAAAGGCGAGGATACTCTTGACCTGAATTAAAAGCCCCGGGGAGAAGAGCGCGGCGCGGCGGCGTGGACCATCGCGGCCGCCTCGCTCCCTCACTCGTCCGTTCGCAATCGCGAGCCTCTCTCGGTCCCGCGGCCGCTTGTTACACACACAGTCGCCAGTCTCGGCCCTCCACTTACCGGCCAGCTGATCCTCGGAGTAAGACGCCTGCGAACATACGCGCGTAGCGGAACTCGTTTTAGACGCATGCTCGTCGGTGTTGTCGCGGCTCGACGCGGTCAACCACGGTACGGTCGACGCGCTCGTCTGGCATCGCGCACGCGAACGGCAATCCAGCTGCACTCTCCCAGAAAACGATACTCACCATCGTCGGATGCTCCTTCCCAGCGAGACGGGCACGGGCAGCGACGGAGGATTGGACGGGCAGCAACGTGACGCGCGCGCGGATCCAGGCGGTGCCCCCCGACGATGCCACACCAGACTTTTGTCGCGTAGCGAGCGAGCGAACCACGATTTTCACCAACAGCGGTGACGTGGACGGCGGAAGTGAGTCACGATCGCGAATCCCCTTTTTTTTCTCTTCACCCAGGCCGACCCGAATCTCTCTCACGTAGGATCTCGCACGTAGAGCGTAAACGTGGGCTTCCGTGCAACCGCCGCGCGGATCGTGCGTGCGTTTTACAGAGCCTCTTACATCGCTCCGACGAAGCTGACGTTCGCGATTTTCGCTCGATCTCCGCTTCTCACGGCACGCACTCAGCCAACGCAGGCCACTGCGAAATTCTCATCGTGGCGCCATCTGTCGTCGCGCTCCGGAGTCGTCGACGAGAGACATCTAGCGGTGGAACGGAGAATCACGTTGATCTCTTCTTTTTAGCGATCGACCTGAATTTGATTTCGGACAAAATGAATTTCCGAGATTTCGAATCAAATTTCGAACGAGGGGAATATATGTTTAATTTTACGCTAACAGTTGTTTGAAAAATCGCGTACATTTGTTTTCCACAATAGATTTCATTATGTAATTTTTTTAAATAAAAACAGACGTAGAAAGAAAAAACTATATACAATTACAATTATAGAGAATAGGAGAATAGATAAAAAAGAAAAAAATGTTGCAGATGCAACTGATAAAAAATACAACAAATTACAAATTTCCTACATTTTATTCGCTTTTGTTTTATTCTTTTATATTAAATATGTACATACCTGTCACATTCGAAGCGTATAGAATTACAATAAAAATATATATGTAGACTTGGGATTGCGAACCATTGCCGCTCTTCAAGTTAGACACTTTGGATTCAAGTTTACATCTAACAATAAGCATTTATGCACGAGAACTGTTGTTCCGATAAATCTAAATATTTTTTTCTCGCTCAGTTTAATATTACATAATTTAAGTCATATGTCATTTCTATTTTTAATACGTAACTTGTTACTTAAATATAACTTAAAGATATAAACAATTGGGATGCATCTTGTGTAAAAATGCATTTAATTATAATATATGGAAATTATATCTCTAAATTCGCGCCAAGAAGAACGCTATTGCATAATAATCAATAAAGAAAAATCAGGTGATTGAAAGGCGCTCGATCATTGGCTGTTATCTATTACGTGTCACTATCGTGATTCGACGAAAAAAGTGGGGGAACTAATGTTTTCGGCGGGAATTCTGCACGCCTGCGTGAAGTGCGTGAACATGTCAACCACGTGATTATTCTAATAAATACAGAGGCAAAATGCAGGGCACTTTTTACAATTAAAACTAAAATTTATTTGCTTTTAAAAACCTATAAAAAGTTTATTTGCTTTTATATTTACTGTTATTATATTTTATTATTGCTCTTATTATATTTATTTAATATACATAATAAGCAATAATGTAAATTAAATATTTCATAGAATAATAATAAATATATGTGAAATCATTGATACGTTAGCAGAAGGAACACTTATAAAAAAGTTAATTTGTAATGATGTAATTATTATATATGTATATGAGTAGTTATATATGTATATGTCATATATTATTTTTAAATTATAAATTAATCTTTTGTATCTGAAAGCAACCATTTTATATTTTAACATAATTAATATTTATTTTTTACTTATTTTTTTCATTAAAGAAAAAGGATATTACTCCATAATATTTTATAACATATACATATTATGTCTCATAATGTGAAACTTCTAAATTGCTTAAGCAATTAACATGTAAACGTTATATAAGATGATATAAAGAACTGCATAAAGTATACCATAAATCAGAAAGCGTATAGGTAATTTGGGAAAAAAAATTGTTATTTAAATTTGAAGAGAAGTTAATTATTTCTCGCAGAAAGTTATTTTAAGTAGCTGATCATTTAATTGTAAGTATAATAATCGAACGATATCCAATTACTATAAACTTCGTTGATTAAAAATAAAAATATAAAAATCTTTTTAACTGTTTTCGATCATTTATTTTTTTTTTCAATGAACGAGGCTTTTTTTCTGATGACACAGGTGCAACGTTACAGGTGCACACGTGACTGATGACTAACAACAAGAGCAACAGCGTGTGCGCCGATCAGCCGATGCGCACAGCTTCAAACATCGTCATCGCTCATCCACGCTCATCAGTCCGATGTGTCGGTTGAACCTCGTTGGTCGAGCGGTACATGTGCGTTACGAGTTACGAGCGTTTATCAATTGCAATAATCCTGAAAAATCGTGATAAGACTCGATACGGCAGAATGCTACGTGCGAACGGCGATCAGCCACTCAGATAAGAAGATGTCTCGTTTATGGCAACAAATATGCTCCTATTCGGTGCTAATCATATTCGCGATCGCATATCCTCTCGTCTCCGCTGAGGATGCGCTACAGCTGAAGTCGTGCGATCAACAATTCGGAAATTTGCGCAGGTGATTGACTACAATCGGCAGCCCTTCTTTCCTTTTCCGCGTGACAGTTGCAATAAAAAATTTTTTTTCCAACATTTTTTTTATCTCGATAGTTTTATCTCACCTACCTAGTTCTTTCGAAAAGTCGTACATGCATGATAAGCTTGTACATAACCACAAAACCTGAATGAAGAGAAGGAAAATTTTACACCTTGGACACCTGTTCACAAAAAAAAAATCTATCTTCCAGAGAGTTTTAAAAATGTCTAACATGTGAAAATAAATAAGTAAATTATATTATAGAAACACGTACTTTTTGAAGGCATATAGAAGGCTTATTCTCTGTCGCTGAATTGAAAACTTCGAAGATTATATATATTTTTCATTTTAAGTACAACGAGCGTACAGTAGTTTAACTACAAAGAATGGATCTAAAAAAGTCTAGAAATTTCTGTGGTTTGGAAGATACAATTGGCAATGAGACGATCAATATATGCATCAAAAGTTAGAATAATGAAATATTATAATATATGTTAGAATTCTGATATTAATATCTGAATCTTGCTTATTAAAAGATATACTTATGTTTATTTCGCCAGTTTGATATTTGTCAGTACATTGGACGGGAAGATATCAACCATCAATGTTACCACTGGTGAGAAACTGTGGACTGTGGACTTTAACAATGGACCAATATTGTCATCCAGTATTCATACCAGAGAAGTAAGAAAGTTTTTCTACGAGTTCTCTTTTAATACTGGATAGTATTATATAAATTCTCTTTTGTTGTATTTAAATAATATACTGCTTTCTGAAATAAAATGTAAATTAATGCATAATATTAAAATATTAATTTACAGCTTAGTGATAATGGACAATGGATACGTTTGATTCCATCTTTGAATGGTAATTTGTATAAGTTTGATGGAGAAAATTTGGAACCAATGCCGATTACGGCAGATCAGTTGTTGCATTTATCGCTTCGTTTCTCCAGTTTAGTCTTTTCTGGTGGTCAAGAACTACATTCTTATGGTAAGTTTGTTATTTAGATTGGCTTTTCTATAACAAATATATCAAGCATCTGAATGATAAGCATTAAAAGAAACTTCTAAATAGGTGAACTTTATAAGAAATGACAAAAGCATATTTTTAAGTAAATTTATTTAAATTTTATAATTTTTTTTAAATAGAATATTAATTTAAAACTCAGGTAAAAACTTATAATGTTAAAAGTTAGAAATTTTTTGAACTGCTTTACATTTTACATATATTTATTGATAATACTAAATAAAAATTTCTATAAAATAGGTATATCAGTCAATACCGGAAGCATTTTATGGAAAAATGAGTGTACTGGCGTTTCTGGTTGCAACAACAAGACAAATCGTCATGAACAACATTTAGAGCAAGATATGATTATTATTCAACGTTTTCAACAAACTGTGCGAGGTATAGAAAGTCGCACAGGTAATGAAAGGTAAATTAACATCTATCACAATTGTATCTTTAAGTTAAAAAATGAGATGTATATCAAATAATATTATTGTTTGAAGATGGAACTTCAGTGTTGGACAATATGAATTGAAGCTAGATTCTATTGCAAATGTTTCGTGTTCCAATGAAGTCACTCCTTTAGATATAGAACTTAAAGTTGTTATTCCAGAAGGTTTGATTTGGGCTGTCAAGAAGACTGATCCTAGCATTACGTTATGGAAATACAAGGTTAGCACAATTATAATTTTTAATATGCAAAATGATTATTAAATGAAAATTATTATTTTTATTAGTTTGATTCTCCAATTGTTACAATATGGCGCGGGGACGCATCCAAAATTTCTATCACTTCGGAAGAACCTTCTGTGGAAGGACCTTCTCCTTTGGAAAAAATTGATTTATTTGATAGTTCTCAGTGGATCTGGGGATCGAAATATTCTGCAATTAGACCAGGTTTATATTTAGGCATGCATGAGAGACAATTATATGTGCAAGAAAGTAACAGGAATTTGTTAGATTCAAAGTATAATCAATATATAAAATATCCATGGCAACCACATCCAGCAGCTAGTAAGTTCAGTTAAGCTTTCTCACACATTTTATTTTTTATGCTCTATATTTGACATTTATTAATACTTTTAAAATTTCAGTAACTGCTGTTACAAATATTATATCAAATGAAGATAACAATGATGAAGTTTCCATTGAAAAAAATGAGACACAGAACGCAATCGCATTGTCTGTATTATATAATTCAGAATATATTAATGGTAAATAATACCTTGCCATGTCTTTAAAATTACTGATATATAATTATAAAAATAATCTTAACATAAATAGAATAACTGTAGACGTGGATAAAATTGTGACATTGTAAATTCACTGTTTTATAGGCAATGGATTTTACTTATATTCAAATGAAGTACCTAATAAGTGTAATCGTAGCAATCCTAATGTTCTACTTATCACTGACATCCATGAAACATCCATGCAAAATTATCCCGAAGAGAAATCTACCGAAAAGGACGATACACTCCTTGAATTTTCACTTTGGTATTCGCCTTGGTGGTAAGTTCCTTTAAAAATCGAATTCTTTATGTAAAATATAATACCTTATTTACTAGGTTTATTTTTGTTTTGTTACTAGGAAGGAACTTTTATTACTTATTATTACGGTTACCTTTCTATTGAATCTTTATATGATACGTTTTGATAGAACATTTAATGCAACATTACCCATTGAAAATGCTATACCTCCGGTAAGTAAATCCATAAAATGTATAATCATATATTTTACTTTCTTTGTCATTTTGATAAATTTTATCTTTTTTTATATTTTATTTTAAATAAATCATGTTTCAGCCTTTTATAGTTGAGACACATATAGAAACTAAAAGAGAAAGTGACATAACAAATGATGATGGTGAAAACGTGAATAATTTTAAGTCTCGTTACTTAACGGATTTTGAGCCAATTGATTGCTTAGGAAAGGGAGGATATGGCGTGGTCTTTGAAGCGAAAAACAAAATTGATGATTGCAATTATGCTATTAAAAGAATTGCTTTGTCAAACAGGTCAGTATTTAATTATTTATTCTTTTTCGATCTTATGAACAGTACGTTTTTAAGTAAAATTTAAATAATAGACAATATTGTACTTATTTTTTGTAAATAACATTTTAAAAACAATATCGTTATTGTATTGATATACGTTTAGTTTTATTTATATCAAAAAAGTGAAAAATTATAAACTATCATTTTTTTTTTGTAAGAATACAATCTGTTGAAACTCCTAAATTTATAAAGCAATATCGATTAGCGCCTAGTTGCACTTACAATATAAATAAAATCATAACAGTAAAATTTTAATTTTTTAATTAGATAAGAATTTTATAAAAGAAATGCTATTGCAGCCAAGAATCAAGAGATCGCGTCATGAGGGAGGTAAAAGCATTAGCTAAGTTGGATCATCACAATATTGTGAGATACTTTAACGCTTGGCTGGAGTGTCCTCCCAGTGGATGGCAAGAAGGGCACGATCAACAGTGGATTAACAAACTAAAATGTTCAACTGACTTTATTTCGGAAGTAACTCAGACCGAGACAAAACCTAATTCTGTATATATTGATGTTTCACAGTCATCTGTAGAAAGTGCTTGTGAAGCGTTAGAATTGAATAACGTGGACACGAAGGATGATTCATACATTGTATTTGAAGGGACAAATGAAAAGCAATATGACAACGACTCGATTTGCATTAAGACTTACAGTACCGAGAATTCGGACTTATCCGTTTCGAAAAATACAACTGAAAACGAATTGTCTAATGTTAACGAAGCCGATCATTCCGAAAGTATTGTGTTTGAAGAAACTCACAATAATGAAAGTATTGTCTTCGAAGAAAATGATAATGAAACTGATAATGTTGTGGCAAGAAAAAAACGCCAAAAATCGTTTTCCTTAGATTTAAATAAGAAGCCGAATACCGAGAAGTCGGCGAAAATGTTCCTATACATACAGATGCAGCTGTGTCAGAGACTTAGTTTGAGAGAATGGCTGAAGCAGCACACGTCAGCAAGAGATTTTTCTCGAGTATTAAATATCTTTCAACAGATAGTGGATGCCGTGGAGTACGTCCATCTGCAAGGATTAATTCATCGAGATTTAAAGGTAACGTCTATCTTAAGATAATAAAAATTTAATGTACACTTTATTTTGTAATTAAAAAAAATTGCCTTTTTCAGCCATCGAATATATTTTTTGCTTACGACGATAAAATAAAGATCGGCGATTTTGGCCTCGTGACCGCAATGACCGAGAGTTGCGATAAGGTTCATACACCTGGAATTGAAAATGAGAATGTTTCTTTGAAAAACAACGTGCATACTGCCCACGTTGGCACGCACTTGTACATGTCACCTGAGCAGATGAACGGCCAAATTTACAACTATAAAGTAGATATTTATTCGTTAGGAATAATCTTCTTTGAGCTCCTTATACCATTTTTTACTGACATGGAGAGAGTAGTAGCGCTATCGAATGTTAAAAACTCCATTTTTCCGAAAGACTTTGCGGAGAACTATCCGGCTGAGGTAATACATCAATCCTGTTGTATATATTTTATGTATACAAAAAAAAAATATGAATGTATATATAACGTTTTAATTAGAATTATTGTACATGGAATATATGATATCGCTTTTGCAGTACACTTTGCTCAAGATGATGTTGGATGAGAACCCCAATAAGCGACCTACAACCTTAGGTATTAAAGCGAAGCCTCCGTTGCAGAATTATGAAGTAGTTGATTTTAATATAGATAAAGATTCAAAATGGCATTTCGAACTGCCGCAACTGAGTAGACATTCCTCTGTCACTAGCAGTAACAGCAGCGGGGAGTTGCTGGAGAACATAAATTAAATATACGAGTTACAAATATTTTTGTAACATTTTATTACTTACGAAGTAAAGAGCTGTAAATTATTTTATAATTTCTTACATTGAGTTTGTCATTTAATTATGTTTTTATTGCTATCATACATTTATACATATCATATACATAGAAAACTTTTTTAACACGATTTGCATAACAATATGCTACTAGATCTTTTTAATCTAAATTTTTAAGAATTTCAAGAAATACATTTTTTTAATAGCATCAAAATAATATAATTGTCCATTTCATTTTTGTATGAACATAGAATCATCAACATTATTAAAAATATGTAATGCGCAATTATTATTTTGTCATTGATCATATAAGTGTACTCTTTACGAGATTGTAAAATAGAAAATAAATAAAACTGATTTTTTTAAATACAAGATTTTACAATGAATTCCGACTACCGTGATTATACCTATGTAAGCTGTTACAACTACCTTTCTGTTCTTTTACCTCTTACAAAATTTGTAATAGATTTTTAAATCTACATGCTCTACCTAGATTATAAGTATATCTACAATCTACATCATATTATATTTCACAATTAAAAATTATTGGAAATTATTTTTAAATCTATCTTAATTATATATTGCACAGATAAATATACACGTAACATTAACAGAGAGATACGTTTATGAATATAGGTGGGAAAGATAAAAGAATAGGTCATTTATTAAAATTAAAAATTCGTTCTTTAATGTTATTTTTTGTTCGAAATTGGTCCTCTTTTCGCGACTTGACAAAAATAAGTATAATAAATACACACTTTATTTAGAAACCTTAAAATTATAAAATGAAAAAAATTTAACTTTAACTTTTTAATTACTTTTTTTATTAACTTTTCAATTAATTTTATTATGGACCAACTTGTATATCTTTAACTAGTTAAATTTTTAAGACTGTTAACTTTAACTTAATTTAGTTAAAAAAAAATTTTAACTTATCCAACTCTGTGTATATTCATTGTGTTAAATACATGGCAATTATATTGCTAATGTTCCTTCCAAATACTATTTACCGTACGCGCGCGTTCATCGTTATCGATTCGACGTCGGTAAGTTCAACGGTCTACTATGACCCAGCGAAATGAATATGCCGGTCAGCCGGTCTGGCGCGAATATGCGCGGTTAGAGGTTAGAGCAGTTTGGAGTTACGCTTGATGTTTTTTGCCCACATCGAATTAATTATAGCAAGTCCACGTAAGTACATTACCAAATACGTGATTATGTCAATTTATCTTACATTATTCTATACTCACGTAAACTCCACATCCTAATAATTTCAATAAAAGAAGCAAATTCTCCATCTAACCTATAACTTTATCTCTTGTCTCTGAAATGATCAAATAATGTTTTGCCTTATTTTTGTAATTTTTAAGTTATTTTATTTTTTATACGTAAAAGATACCGAGTGTTTTTTCTTGTACTAGTTAATACTACAGATAATCTCTAAAAGACTAAAGAAAAATTTCTTTCAAATTCTCAAGATCAAGATTATGGTACTTAAAATTGTTGATTTGTAATTATTTACATGCCTATATATATGTATCATCTTTTTTCAGTAATACTTTTAGGAAATGAGGAATACAACACTTACAGAAATGGAGCCATTAAAAATGCACTTAGATTCATTAGAGATGGCTGGAAAAATGGTAGATAAACATATTATCGCAGACAGCAATTTTCCATCCTTAATTAATCTTATGCGATACAATGTGCAAGGTAAATTATACACTGGCTGTATAAAGAATTCATAAATCTGCAAATATAATTGTGAAAAATATTAATGCTAAAAAATTTTGAGGATAAATTATAATTAATATACTTCCTACAGGTGGACCAACCGTTAGTGGTCTTGATGATCACGACTATCCTAATTTAAACGGTGTATCAATAACCTTAACAAATATTAATCAAATGAAGATACATAGCAAAATCCCTTTGCCTTCTGAAGTAATGGAACACTTTGGCCGTATCCTTTTTAAATAGTGAAAACAAATATTTTATTATATATCAATTTATTGTCTCTAAAATTATAATTCACACCATACTTCTTTTATTTACAATCTTCAACTTTCTAATCAACTTCTCATAACCGAAATATGAGATTGAAACCTATTGATTATGAATTGGTCGTTTTTACACTTACATCGAATTACAATATTATCCTAAATTATGACAAATTGTTTTATAAATATATATTTAGTCCTTAATAGAAATGTAGACATGCAATGTCATTGTATGATGGGTCTTTTTACGGAGATTTCGAAAGCGTGGCTCACCATTGATAGCGACATTTATCTGTGGTCATATGAAAATGAGTAAGTATTAACATTTTGAATTTTATTGATTGAAACATGAATTTATAAATTTATATATGCAAAACTAAAATGCCTAAACTTTCGCTCGATAATTGTGTAGGTCTGATGTTGCTTACTTTGATGGTTTGAATGAAACTATTATAAGCGTAGGCTTAGTAAAACCCAAGGCGGGAATCTTCCAGAACTACGTGAAATATTTGTTAATTCTTACAACAACGGTAGAAATAACCATTCTTGGTGTTACAATACCCGATGAAGGAGGAGGTAATATTTTATTATAATATTTCTGTTTATATTTGTGTTCATTAAAATTAATTCTTTAATTAAATCTGATTGTTGTTCTTTGTACATCCGCAGAAATGCAATTAGTCCCAGAACCGATCTTTACTGTTACTACTGATGGAATAGGAATCACTACAATCGCTAATACCAGTAGCGGCAGGATATTTCTTGGTGGTAGAAATGGATCACTATTCGAAATATATTACCAGGTTAAAAATCTTTGAAAACTTAAAGAAACCCGAGATTTTATTCATTTTATTGTTCTGAATCTTTATATTAATGGATCTTATCGCATGCAGGCGGAGAGCAGCTGGTTCGGCAAACGATGTAAAAAAGTGAATCATTCAGAAGGCCCATTATCATTTCTAGTGCCATCTTTCGTCACTATGGCATTGTCAGAGGAAGAAGCTATAATACAGATATCCGTGGACGATTCGCGTAATATTTTGTACACTTTGGGTGACAGAGGTACAATCACAGTGTGGGATATTGATAATGGTGGCGCGTCTAAAATCACTTCATTATCTCAAGCTTCCTTGGTACAAAACACTGTCCATGTTGTTAAGTAGGTAATCTTTTATTAATGTTACACATGTAACTTGCTAATATAAATTGAATTAATAAAATTTATTTCTTCCAGAACTCTGGACAGTAACAATTTTCGACCTCTTGTAAGCATATCGGCTATAATGGAATCCGAATCGGTACACTTGAATTTGGTCGTTGTTGCGGCAACAGGAACTCGTTTTTACTTCAGCTGTACTTCAATTACAAATCCGTCAAGTAGACCACAAGGTTTACAACTGATACATGTGAGGCTGCCACCGGGCTATGCTGCAAATGCTCCCGTAATGAGACCGCGAAAGGTACAAATGGCGTATTATCGAAAGGGTAAGTTATTTTAATATGTCGTAAATAACGCGTTTGTGATATGAATGTAACTTATTGCATTGGAATATTTTCCAGGAACACTTTTTCTTGTTTGCGGTGGCGATACGGAAACCGCATGGTGCTTAAGCAACGATGCTTATCCATTCACAAATTACTTGGCTGAAACTCAGAGCATCTTGCCTCTTGATAGTCCAGCTTGGGCCATGGAGGAGATCATAAGAGATTCGGCCATACACATAGAGAAGCAAAGCAGTGCTCAGGGTGAACCTCCTCTATTAGTGCGTCAACACATGGAACCACCAAGGAAATTTATATTTTTAACAGCACAGGTATATAATTGCTACACTTTTATCATTATATGAGATGTGCGCATACATTATTTATTATTATTCTATTTATTTTGTTACAGGGAGCGATCATCTTAATGCAAGTTCGTCCTGTAGATATACTGAAACAACTACTCTTGGAACAACGTGGTCCGGATACTGAAGTAGTACGTGCATATTTTCAAACACAATCTCTAGAACAAGCTTGTGCTACGTGTTTGATTTTGGCGACGCTCGAGAGTTCTCAAAATGCTCAGGTAACGATATATTTTTACATACATTTATAAAATTATACTTATATTCTATGACATTGTTTATAATATATTTAAAATTATGTTCTATATTATATATCATTAATAATAATAAACATTTTTTTATGATTCAGTTATCGGAATGGGCAACTCGCGCATTCTTCCTATACGGTGGTCAAAGAATAGCAGGGATATATCCTCCAATTGACATGCATTCTGGTTTTCCTACCATAAATCCAGGTATATATTGTTCTCGATAGAATTAAAATATTCTATATATAATATTTGATTTATATTGAATATTTAATTTATATATTTAATTTAAATTTTAATATAGCCGATTTACGCACATCTACGCCCAGAATTCCAAGCTTCGATTCCAGAGTTCAATCCTTCCGCACACCCACGCAAATGGGGCTTACCACAGACATTAGTTTGCAACATTTCTCTGCTAAACACAGCGGATTATATTTGTATGTGGGAAGAATACTTCGTCCTATATGGAATGTAAGATGTATAAAACAAGAAACAATAAGTAACAAAAACGTGGTAAGTGACATTAAAGAAACATTATTGTATATAGTTTTTTTTAAATATTTCCTCGATTGTTTATTTTGAGACAATACTGCGTGAATTATTATTTTTATTTTTGAAATTTTAATAAGTATATTACTTATTTTGTCCAGATATCCAGTACAGTACCAGCAACACAGATCGCTTGGATCTTAGGTTATTTGCAAGCACTCAGATCTTTCTTGAACAGAAACACGCATATCACAAAACAGTATGTATTTTCTAAAACATGAATCTTTGATATAATAATGTATTATAATTTTATTAGATAATAATCTGATTGAGCAAGTCAATTGAAACTAAAACTAAGTATGTACTTATACAGACAAAGCACAGGTAGAGGTTTAACAGACGGTTTTGAAACAACGATTCAAAGTCATTTTCAAGAACCAATTGTGGAAGAAAGAAACTCGTTGGATGCCTTAAAAGTTTTCATCACTCATGCATGTGAGGTTTTGGGTTTATGGAAAATATTGTGCGAAAATCAGCTGAATAACATCGTCAACTGTCTATCAAAGGTAGTTACTATTTAATTTTCTTTTTTACTAGTTAAACTTTCTGGAAAATAGCTTAGTTTTTTATTTTTAAGCTAAATCACAATGTATGTGTCTTCTCTTTCAGGATCAAATTACTCAATTTTCTACGGCTACCTTCAGAGATTTGATTTTAATAGGCCACGAAATATCTTCTCTACTCATCGTTCATTTGATTGATAGGTAAGTTTATGAATTTTATACCCCAAAATAAAAATACCCCAGTTTACAGTTAATATTTTGCAGTTATCTTGGAGATAACGCATCAGTGGATTCCGTAAGTGCGAAATTAAGAGAAGTCTGTCCCAATTTATACAGAACTGAAGATGCTGTTTGCTCCAAGGTAACAAGAATATATCATCTTTTTTATAATCATGTAAATGTTATAGAAATTATATATATAAATATAATCATTTTCGTTAATTTAGGCAAATGAAATTCTCCTAAAAGCAAAGGGATGCACAAATCCTGAGGAAAAAGAATGTTACCTTCAATCTGCGTTAATGGTATGTCGTAATATTATTTATGTTACAAAAGACAGTGTTTGATCTGACTTATTAAATATGTACAAATATTTACAGCTTTGTAAAGAGGTAGCACCCAGATTGAATTTAAATGCAGTGTGCCAGCAATTTGTTGCATGCCAGTTTTACACGGGTGTACTTGAATTGTGTATCTGTTGCGCAGAAAAGATAGATCCCAACAACGCTGCTTCGCATTATTATAAAAATAATGAACCTATAGAGGATCAAGAAGGAAATATGGCCTTTACGAAACGGTGTGTAACAATAGTACAGATTCTTAATGAATAACCACAAGTAATAATTTAATTCATTTTTATGTCATTTACAGTTTAGAGATTTATAAGGAATTTACCACGATGTTAGATCATTTGTATCATCAGAGCATCTCTAATCCTTTAACGCCAACTATACCAAGCAAGCCAGGACCTCCTTTACAAACCGCGTCAACTGCTATAGTAATGCCGGCGAAAGAAATTGTATGTAATATAAAATTTTTTTATTTGTTTGAATTTTATATGTTTTATAATATTTTTTAAATATTTTTTTTTAGTTACATAAGATCATAGATGATGCACTGCAGGCGCCATGTGAGACTCTTCATTCCTCTATTTATACTTGGATGATAGACAGAGGACTTCATGGTGAATTAGTTGCCTTTGCAGCGCCTTCCCTAGAAACTTACCTCAATCGCGTCAATGCACCCGAATTACTTTGGCAATTCTATGAAAGAAATAAGAATCATGCTGCTGCAGCAAAGATCTTGGATTCTTTAGCCACCAAAGTCGGGTATGCATATATATGTATATTGCTTATAATACGTGATCCTTTTAAAAAGTAAAAATTTATATCATCTCTCACAGATCAGAGATATCCCTCGCAAAGAGAGTCGAATATCTAGCACGTGCGGTTGTATGTATGCGAAGTGATCAAACTGGATATGCTCCGTATCTTGGAATTTTCTTACGCGAATTGGAAGATAAATTAGAAGTAGCTAGAATGCAACAACAGGTACATATTCCACATACACACATATATGCACATGCGCGCGCTGTCTATAATCAAATCCAATAATCCACAAAGTGAAATATCTATAATGATAAAGTATCTTCATGATCTAGAATATTTTTCTTTTATATATGCAGTAATTAAAAAATAAAAGAAAGATGAAATTTAGATTGTGGAGTTTAATATGCCATCTATATTTTAATATCTCAATAAATTTAGGATATTATATTAATTAATTGTTTGTTTTCTCAAATGTTTAACAGATACTTGAGATTATCAGCAATCAGCAAAACCTGTTCGATTCGATGATAATTACAGATGCAAAATTAAGATTAAATTCTTCATTACTTGATATTACGCAGGTTTGTAATTTTGACATGCAAATGTACATTATATTTTATCTAAATTTCATTCTTAAAATCCTTATGTATAATGTTAATTATAGTTGTATGAAGAATACGCAGAACCTTTACAACTTTGGGAATGCAAACTAGCTATAATTCATTGTTCGGGTCATCAAGATGACATGTTGATTAAAGGAATTTGGACCAACATAATTGATAATGGTACATAATATTTTACATGTTCATAATATTGTAATAATAATTTTCTCAACTTTCTAATAAATTCCTAATAATCGTAGAATTAGAAAATGCAACGGAACCATCGAATGAAGATAAAATGACCATTTTAATGTGTAAAATTAAATTACTTGGTCAAGAATATATTGGATCACCGCATTGTTTCCCAATTGGTAATTATATTTTATATATGTATAATATATAACTAATTTTATATCGATAATAAAGTTTTAATATTTTTCATTATTTCTTATTTTTCATTTTCGTCTTTTAGATTTTCTAATAAAACAATTGGAAATGAAGGCATGTAAATATAAAGTAACTAATACTAGTATCATTACTTCTTTCTTGGAATTGGGAGTAGCAATGGAAGATCTTTTAGACATTTATGAAAAGTAAGTATATTAAATGCAAATTTCTGTGTTCTAATATTACAAGATGTTCACACACAAATTATCTGTCTTCAGAATGATTGGTAAAAATACCCGTATTTGGTTGAATGAAGGCAATGAATTTCATCTAATCGAATCAACCGCGAACTTGGTAAATCATTTCATAAAAAACATGACAATAACAAACAGTTTTGTCAGGTGAGTATTATCT